CCTAATAAAAATTATTCTAAGATTCTTGCTTATGTTCTCCTGTTACTGTTCCATCTGTAACAGAATTGGAAAAAAAAGACAGGGTTCTACAGAATTGAAGACCACATATGGACAGAAGTTTCAGAAATATTCAAGTCTGATGTCTCTGGTTAGACCCACATCCAATGATACAGAGAAAGAGACAATGGACAATGACAGGAGCATGTCTCCATGGGATTACCAGGGTATGTAGAGGCCTTAGCATGAGGAATACATTTCTGAGTTCAAAATCAGAAAAAACTGTCAGTGCATGTACATCTACTGAAACACATACCCACTCACTGGCCCTCTCATCTGACACTGATGTATCCTCCAACCATCCACTTGGGATATTTGAAACACTTGCTTCCAAATAGCACCATCAATTCTCTAACGATTTTCTAACACAAACACCATTTATACAAATAAATTATTTTCTAGCCATGCTGTGATAAGCCTACCTTATTTTCTCACAGCTACTCTTGTTAAGGACAGGTAAATAAGAGTGTTTACAAATAGCTCCCAACTGAACACCACGAGCTGCAGTTCATAATGAATAAATGTCAGAACAAGGAGCAGCAGACCAGCATTATCTCCCCTCCCACATGGCTGTCCTTCAGCTACCTAATGCTCAACAGTTTTTGAGATCTCATTTGGGGAATGCTGACCATTCTAGATACTACATCAGCATCAAAATCCAAATTGGCAGGGTCCTTTGCTTAATCCCAACTCAGCTGTAGTGGTTAAAGGGCTCCTGCCTAATCACAAATATGTTTGCTTGCAAATTGCAAACCTGCCTGTCAGTCACTTCTCACTAAACCCCAAAGGGAACTTGAAATTTTGAGGAGATTTCTCTCAGTGATTTTAGCACAGTAAGAACAATCAAACTGTTTCATTACAATGAAGATATGTTCCTGAACCATCTGCCCAGGAGCAATTTGTAAGTGAACTGAAGATGGACCTCCAAGAATTCAGCTCACTTATGGCAATATTCCAGTCATTATTTAATTAGAGCCACAAAATATTTCTTTTACCTTGAATAATCTCACTAAATACTGCAACCCACAAGATGCCCAAATTCTGCTAATAATTTTAGGCAAGATACAAATAACAAAAACATGGGAACAATTTATTCAGTATCTTCTAAAGGAAATACTTCATTCTGAAGTGTTATCTATATACTGCTCCCTTTTAAACATCAATCTGTGTTTTTAAAATGGGAAAGAAATTAAAACTCTTTAATAATCTGAACACATACCATTCACCCCCAAAGTGAAATAATTTCTTTAACATTGACTCATTCTGATACTAATTTCAGTTTTAACCTTTCCTCAAGACACAGGGAACTAAATAATCCAAATGGAAAAACAGGCACAATTTACCATTCACTGCAGGTGACTAATATTATTTTCTTTAGAAATTAAGAATAAGACTAGCTACACAAACTGGTGTACACAAATAGTGTACACCACTATTTGGCTTGATAAACACTCTCAACAACTTATATCTTATTATGGTTTGGACGTGGTTTTGTTTTCTACACTGCAAATTTAATAGTACTGAATAGGACATTTATGGACAATCTGTGCTCAGTGGCACTTCTGTAAAAATCAATGCAGATTTTGGGCTTTTGCTAGTTGGTTTCCAAACATTTAAACAATTATCATGCTAATGAGTGTTCCTTAAACCTGTTGATGATTTTAGCTCTAGCACAAGGCCATTCTGACCTGCATATGCCACTCTTTTTGTCCCAACTCTGCACTTACAGTTTCCATAAGACGGTACACCTAAACCTCGCACAAGAACACTTCATCCTCAAGTCACTGTAGGAAATCAAGACTGGATTCACAATCACTGCTCTGTTTTGGAAAATCCACCCCTTTCTCTATGCTGCTGGATGCACACATACCATTGAAGCTAATAAGCTAACCTAAGCTCTTGAATTGATGGACAATTGTAGCAATTGGGGTATAGAACTCCGGATCAAGCAGAAAGCATTTTTAACTACAGAAGTGCTCATTGTCATTAACTTCTTTTGTTCAATATCACCATATCTCATCCCAAAGAGGTGGGATATGCAGCTATTCAAACTATAACAAAAACCAGAGGGATTTGAAAGGTAGTCCTATAAAGACAATTCCAATTAAATTAGTTTAAAATTATTTTATACAAATGCAATGTGGTATTCACAAGCAACATACACATTTTCCTGTCGATTATACATTCTTAGAAACTCAGAACAACATTAGAGATATCAAAGTCTCACATGTGTATTCTGCTCTATGTCAGCCTGCCAAGATTTCTATAAAGCCAGAGTAACTCTTGGCTTCAACAAAACGGCATGAATATAAAACCTGTGTCATGCAGTAGAGTCAAAATCAACACTTGCAGATGAAACAGGTCAAATCCCTTGGTTTCAAAGGAATAAGGAACACGTAATTGTGGTAGCTTTGCATTTTTTTGGTAGCCACTAATTTAAAACAGGGATAAAACCACTACAGTTCTACACTGTGTAGCAGGGGAAAAATGTTTGGAAATTCATTTATACGTCAATGGCAACTGAAAATTAAGCAGTTTCAAGGTCTAAAAAAAGTTGATGTCAAATTTCTTCAAGAAAAAAAACGACATATTTTAAGATAAGAAAAGATTATTGTGATCTACTCTGACCTTTTGAGTCATATAGGCAAGAATATTGCACAGTAATTCCTATCTTATACCCATATTTTGTGGTCGGGTTTTTTTCAGCTTTTCTTTTTTAAACAAGAAGCTGGCTCCACTGTGAGACCATTTACCAGCACATTATGGAACTGCACAGTAGCAATCAATTACAAGTATCTGTACAGTTAATGACCAGCAAGCCTGAAAGAAGTTGTATTTTCTAACTCTGGTCCACATCAGTTCACGAAAGTAAAAGATATTTTCAGCAGGACCAAGTGTCTGAATTTCAAATCTGATTCCAGCAGTTCTTCAATACAGCTCTGAAGGAAGCAGAAAGTTTCTAAGAGTGGGCAAAAGTCAGACCTAAGCAATACCTTAAATTGGCAATTTAAGATGGTAAAACAGAAAGTGGCTATTGTGAAATTTAACTGAATGTGTATTTGTGAATACCTTTGTCAGAGCAAATATAATCTATAGGTTACTCTGCAGCTCTTCTTTCTCTTACTCTTTATAAATCAGAAAATTAATTACCCAGAAAATGGTCTCCTGTAGTAGGAAGCTGAACAGGTCTAATGTATAATTTATATATGGAAATTTAGGTGCCAACACTGTGACAAATCCTCATGTAAATATTTTTGCAGTTAAATTTTTCTGTATCTGTCTTCCACAAAGAATGAGCATAACAGATTATCTCGATGATAAGACCTTATTTTGGTACGTGGGGCAGAACCGCATTTTTAATTTTTTCTCAGCTACAAATCGATCTACATGAACAAGGTTTTTGTGCTGTATGAGAGAAGCTATTTTGATGCCATCCCTCTTCGGAGAGCACCATTCACAGTGAGAGCACTAACATGAAGAAAACAGAAATTAAACAGAATGAGGTTTTCCAACATCCACCTTGCCATCTGTGAGGGGGCATTTTAAACTCTTGTTATGGCCGATTAGGGTGCTCTGAACATTCCCTCCTTATTTTGAGACTGCCACTGTAACTTAGTCTAGTCATTTCATAAAGGCCTGTGCTTCAAGGGAGCCTTGGAAAATAGTTTAGGTTTGTAACACACTTCTATTAACAGTCTTTGAATTGATAACTATTTAATGGGAACTTCGTAAGGTTCAGAAGCTCTAAATATTTCAAGTCTGACAACTGAATCCAATAATTTCTCTGTATTGGGGTGCTTTCTACCATGGGCACGTTAAAATAAGCAACACTAAACACTGACTGCAGTCCCATAACCATTAAAGTACTTTCTCAAAATCAGCTACCAAAAGTTATTGAAATTTTTGAATATTCAAGCTTTAATAGATTTAAAGATAGGATAAGATCTTTGGCATTTTGCAGGGAAAGGAGTGTTTGACATATCTCTGACATTTCCTTGTTGAGTGAGGAATCACTGCAGTTACATTTCAAAGCTGAAAATGTTTTCTATCTTACACCAGCCTAACAACATCATCCTGTGACTGGGGAGAGAGTTGGAAGTCACTTACTCAGAGAAAAGAGCAAGGAGCTAAGAAATTCTGTTTATTTCAAACCACTTGGACCCAAGACTAGTCAGTTGAAAATGACATTTGGAGAGGCCTTTTTTGATATTTCTTCCATTATTTTGCTTATTTGCTTTTGAAGTCAACACACACATTCAGCATTCATAACAGCCTGTGGAAGGAGCTCCATATTTTAACTACATATTGCATGAAAATGCATTTCTGGTTTCTTCTTCTTAGGTTTTGGTTGTTTACTTTTTTTGCAGCCTTGCCACACTATTTTCCTATTCCCTAGACGTAATCTCTTGGAGACTGTTCATTAGTACAGTTGGAAATTTAGTCTCATATGGCATGGCTGTTTTGACATTATGTCTTATTCACAAACAGCCCTTCCTGACAAGCTGAAATTCATAAATTTATCTCCTACTCCAGCTACTTGGAAACATTTTATGCCAACTCAAGAAACCTCAACAGCACAGGCTTTTGCCTGACTGACAGTGAGGAGGGGGATGGCAGGTGAAGAAAAAACCCACAGGAGTGGAGGGGAAACTTGGTCATGGTACATCTGTTACTGAGAGAATAGCAGCAGTGACTCCTGACTGAACCATGCACTTCAAAACGATTCCCCTTACTCCAACATTAAATTACTCCCTGAAGAAAGAACCAGCCTTGAGATACAAGGAGCAGGAACAAAGTGCTTTTGCTGTCCCGGACTGTCTTTTTGCCTATGGGTACAGATGGCACTCCTCCCTGTAGTCTCCTCCAGATCCCTGCTGTGCCACAGCCAGTTGCATGCCCACCATCCCCAGACCCTGAGCATAGAAGGAGGTCACAAATCTTACTCTGGTTGCGCCTCGCTGTCTTTCTCAGCACAGCCTCCTCCAGTCGGGCTTTTTCTTCCCTCTCCTTCCAGCGCCTCAGCTGCTCTTCTCTCATTTTGTAGAACAAGATCTGCTTTTGCTCTTCATTCAGCTCTGCCAAGAGCTCAGGGTCAATATACATATCACGCAAAATTTGCTGCAGCATGGTGACTCCAAGAAAAAAAAAGGAAAAAAAAATGAAAAAGAAAGAAATCTGCTTCTAATTATCCTTGTCACTACAGTGACAAAACCCCACTGATGGCACTCCAGAAAGCAACCTGCAACAAAGGAGCTCTCCCACACCTGCCTGCCCAGGAGAGGTTTGATTCTTGCTCTGGCCCTCTTTGTGCAGACATGTTCTGCTCCTTGACTTCACAGGGACAGAGTTCTCTGCTTATCTCATCCTCCAAAGGCAGGGACAAGTGTCAAGGGAATGTAAGGAGGAGAAACAGGCAAGGATAACAACAAAACATAAAATGCAAAGTCCAGGAGAAAAAAAGAAAAAAGTCACTTCAGTGGTCTTGACTGCAAACCACTAAAAATTAGGGATTCTTGCTTGAACCCATCAGCTTTGTTCCTTGAGCAGAAGGAAATTCAATGGAGAGAAAGTCTCAGACTTTCAGGTCAAGCAGTTCCCTTCAGCAGCAATACATTCCCAAGGGTGTAAGTGTTGCCAAGGGTTTATAGTGATGTCATGGCTACAGGTATCACCTACACTAACAATATCTATGTCACTTTGGGAACTGATCTCTCCTGATAAGAGAGGAGAGACGAGTTTGCGTATTATTTCCCAGTCTAGGCTGTTAACTAGTCTCAACAGAGTAAGTCATATTAGAGGTCCTATTTACCTGGTGTTGACAAATACTGTCATGCAGCAAACTGATTAAAATGCCTCTAAAATTAAAAGCAGATGTAACAAAAGCCACACGAATCTTATCACTTTATAAATAAATTAATATTAATTAAACAAGACTAAGTTTTCAGCAATTCATGCAGACTCTGCAAGCCCTGATGGTAATTCATTTTCCACTTGGTGGCTGGAGAAAGTTACAATGGTGCTCTCCCAGGAGATTATGGCTTTTCACTATGTGACAGTTTTATTAAAATTGGTAAAACAATATTATTTCAGCACCAGGGCCAACAGCCAATTAATTATATAAAAAACAAAGCAAAAGCAAACCCTCTGGATTTGGGAGCCAGTTTTCACTGGACAGGGGCTCATCTCTCAGCTCCTCCAGGGAAGGGTGGCACTTTGTGGGAAGGGGGCCACTTTCTGAGATGAACTAAGACCTGGCCACTCAGAGTCATAACAAAACACAGACCATTTGCAGGCTGAGCCACATCCTTCTGCTTGATGTTTGCACAAGAAGGAAGAGCAAAAGCAGGTCTGCATTTCCTCATGAGAAACCTGCTTTATAGATAGGGAGCTGTCAAAGTCTTATATGACTTCCATGATATTATATTCAAAAACTTAACTGCTAATCCATCTATTCATGTATCATTCTTTTGATGTATGCAAAATAGTAATGTCCTAATTTAGACAGAAAACAAAACTGATATAAACCAAAATTCCAGAGAAGACACTGTATCACCTAGAAGCATGATTGTGGCACTGTATTCACCTAGAAACCAAAGATTAAGCTTGAATGATGCCTTCAGTTAAAGCAGAATTTCAGAACCCATGTTTGAGCTTTAAAGAGTTCAAGTCCACATGCTACTCTGCAATTCAGGATCTCTCTTATGTACAGATTTTATCTCCTAAAACAAAATACATTTTCTATTATTACTATTTTTTAAGAAACAGGGTTTGGCAAAAAAAATCCTAGGGTAAGGAAGATTTTGTTACTGCTTCTTTATTTCACTTGGTCAGGTACAGAAAAGTGAGACCCTGAGGGCGTTGGCTTTGTTTCTCTGCTTTTATTCAATTATATTAGTGCTGTGGCTCCACATTTTGGCACTAATTGAAAAAGACTCACCTTTTCAAAGGCTTCAGGGCAAGCAGTTTTGCTGTTTTACTCATTTGTCATCATTCTTATTTTATTTTGCTTGACTTCCAGACCAGAAATCAAAGCCTGATCAGAAACTATCACAGTGCAAAAAACAAACTCTTCATCATGGATTATGTGCATTTAAGCATGACAAGAAGAATCATTTCTGAACTGCATTCAGCTGCAGAAGTAGCTCAGGATGGAGACACAAGACAGCACACAAACAAATTTTCAGGCAGCTACTGGTAATTTTCAATGAGCAACCACCCAACAAAAACAGCAAGAGCAAGGAGATGAACAACCCATTGCCTGAAGATTATTCACCAAAAATATTTGAAGATGGTAACCAAATGATCAAGTGGAATTAATCTGTGGGGGAATTATTTTGGTTTTTTAGAGGTGGAAGTGCTATCTAATCACAGCAGTGAATCTGATCGACTTCCCCTGGTGTAGCTTTTCTCTGGGTTGCAGTAATCCCGAAATAAAAAACTGGAAATACAAAGGAGAAGCAAGGAAGATAAAAGAACACCCTATCTACCATAAGCCAAGATCCAACAGAAGCAGAAAGATACATCTTAAATTTTACCCTTAATTTCCTGTCCAAGACAAAAAGACTCTGCTACACACCACTCGGTCTTTGGACTCCCACATGAGTGACAGTTTTTCATCATCTCTTTCTCTCTCTTTGCTATCACTGGTAGCTAAATTTGTTTTATGACTTGCATTGCTTTATGGGGTGGAAAATCCAGGAGAATCAGGGGAAAGAATCAAGGTTTTTTCACCAGTCTCTTCTTTTCTCTTACTAATTAATAGTTGATTTGATCTGATAACAATCTGAGAATAGAGCGTGTGGCAGAAGAGAGCTGGTTACCTCCCTGCAGATCCCAAAGGTACAGAGAACCTCAGTCATGTGAGTAAATACTAGGCATGCTTGAGAAATCATCCTATGTTCCACTTATTAGAAAACAGTAATGGTGGATGGCACTCTGAGAAATCCATGCTTTGCATATTTTGGGCCAAACTAGGCCCAGCCTGTTGGCTTCATCAAGAGTTGAAGCTCCCTCATCAGGAGCTGGCAACACACTACCATTCTATGCTGAGCACCTTGCAGGATATTTGACAGTAGGTCCAACTTCCATATATCCCCACCAGGCAAGAAGCACTAAGAAGCAATAAATAATTCAGACAAGTAAGTTTAATCACTAACCACTACTCCAGTACCTCAAATTTCTTCTGCATCTGACAAATCTTTTCAGAATTACATTTCTCCCCTCTGAAGAAATACTTTTGAAGCACTAGTAGAAAACAATTAAAGGACCTCTCTGATACAGTGAGAATGACCCCAAACATGCATTGCAAGGAATAAAAAAACATGACTACACGAAATATAGTCATCTGCCCTTTTGTCATAAGTCATGAAGAAGATGGACTGCAGGAAAATCCTCCCCCTCATTCTTCTTCCAGCCCAGTTTATTTTCAAGCCTCTCCACTTGCTTTCCTGCCCACTGTGATGAAGCTTCTTGAGAAGCCAGTTTCCTCAGCTGGCAGTCCGAATGTAAGAACTATCCTGATTAGCTGTGATCCTTTATCTGGAATGAAACAATATTTGTGTAAAACCATTGTATTTCTACACCGCTTGTCTTCCTTCCTGTGCAGACATCATTTTAGATGCTACTGCCCTCTTCACATCCTTCCTTTAGTTTTTTTTAATAGTAGTGTTTTCACAGCCCACTCCCATAACACACAGGGGTGTCACAGGCATCTGTGCAGCTTTGCTTCCTGCTCACCCTCTTCACTAACAGCAAGCTAGAGAGAGATGTCTGACAATCAAAAATTCAGAGAAAACACCATAGTTAAAGTCAAAAAATGAGAGGTCACAGATTTCCTTCCATAACCAAGAACAGATTTTATAACTCTGAACTTATACTTTCAAAGGGAGAGGAAGAAAACAGTTTTTCTCTGCTTTGAAGACATGGTCCTGTTACAGGGATAAAGTTGCTTCTCTCTTCTGTATCCCAGTGAATCTGTTGTCTGTACATGAAATGTTCCCAGTGGTAACCTATGTCAATTCAAAACTGGATTTTTTAACCTAGTAGACACTGATTCTCATCATAGTTTACCTTTTCATGAATATTTCAAATACGTGGTCTGACTTATCATGAAGAAATTATCATTAACTCTCCTGATTTCTCAGAAAATTAAACAACTTTATGAGGTTTAAAACTGGCAACCGTGAAGAAACACCAAACCTTCTATAAAAACTCTTGCTATTTCTAGGATTAGCTCATATGTTGTAAATGAATGAGTTTTGCAGCTCCAGCCAACAAAGTCAGAAAGCTAAGGGACAGGAGATAACTCAGGCAAAGCACAAAATTGTAAAAGAAAAATTTCTCTCTTTCCTTCCTTTCCCAGGTCTGATTAATATTTGGATTAATTAATGACTCTGAAGAGCAGGGGAAATTTGAAGTAAGGATACCCACTTCCTGATTATGGCCATCCATCATCTTTCCAGCCTTCCTGGGAAGTATTTGAATATTTTAAAAGGATAATGAAGTCTCCAGTGCTTTACCACCTTGGTTACCCCTCGTTCAACAGTCCAAGCTAAGATAAAATCATTACAGAAAGACATTACATCTCAAAGGCCTGTACACAAAATAAAAATTACTATTAATGCAGTTCTTTGTTTGCAGGCATTACATTACTGGCACACAACTTGATGATCTAACTATTAGAACTCTCTGCAAGGAGCTCAGAGCTGTTTAAAATTTAAGTTTGGTGTTTCCTTTAATCTTAAATGGAATCTTCTGGGACTAGATACACTCCGTCCCATCTCTGGTGTAGCATCTTTCTGGCTAAGCACTCCTCAGCACTGCCACTAGAATTCATCTGCTGGGGAAGGGGGAGGGAGAGGAAAAGGCACAGAAAAACATTTTAATTTCATTTTCTAAGAAAAGAGGAAGTGCTTAATTGGCTAAGGCCTGCAAATCTTTTCATCCATTTTGCTCTGAGCATGTGCAGCCTCCCTTCCCTGCAGGGAATAGCTGCCAATGCTGATTAATGCTGAGCCAGCAGAACAGCATTTTCATTTGGATTTTATGACACAGCCATATAACTCACTTTAGCCATGTCATTTACATAAAAATATTGTGCTATAACCCACACATTACGGGGAAAGAAAGGGGTGTAATGAAACTCTCTCCTTAAAGAAAGGGATATACTTAATAGAAAAACCAGTAAACAAAAAATGTGGCAATCACGATTTCCAGACTGTGAACTACATGGCCTTAATCAAATTTTTTTTTGTGGTTTGTGTCTTTGTATTTTTCATTTTTTATGAGGAAGGAGTGTGCAGCATTTTAATTGTTCAAGTCCTGCTGAATCAGCATCAAAAAGAAAACAGTAGAACTTGGAACCAAAAGGTGCAGGAGGAAGCTGATCATGTAAAAGGGGAAAGGTAAAATGAACATTCGTTTGACATCTTCCAAACCCTACAAATCTGTCACTAGAAAAGCAAATATGTTAGGACACTCCCCACAACAAACCAGTCTTGTCTCTG